ATTCTTTACTTGTAAATTTATTTTTCTTGTTAGGTGGCGGTCGATAGATACATGTCACACGGAAGGTAAGTTGCTCTGATCTGATGAAAGCAGTGGCTGATTCAAATGTGCGATACGATGGACCACCGCAGATGAACTTTACTGGTAAACCTCGCCGATGAATAAAAGCAATTCCGCCACCACGTGATCCGCGTGAAAAAGATTTAAGTTCAAAGCCGGGTGGTAGAAGGTCGGCTATGATAGATTCATCGCCTTCTGTTCGAAGCCAAGTTTCTGTGATGCACAACAGGTCGATGTTCATTTCTTCAATTACGTCTCTTACAATGTTTGTTTTGTTGCAGCACGACTGGGTGTTAATACAGCCAATTCTTAAGTTGGGACAGTTATGTTGAAATACATTACGAGTGTCTATCTGTATTAAGTTTTTCTTGTTCACAGTAGTCGTAGTTCTATTCTTAGAAACAGTGTCACGAGGAATCCCCTGACACACCATAATTTTTCTCTGTTTCCTTGTCCCACCTCTCGTACCCCTCTTGTCACTCTTTACTGCCTTTGATTGACAAACACAGCTGTTTCTAACTCCTAACTGGGCCAAACTAGTAAGCACTGCGCTCGCAACTGCATAAGGTCATATGAGCGCCAAGGGGTGAGTGTCAACTGAGAAGTCTTTAAAGAGAATCAGACTTAGACTGCTCACCTCTCTAGCTTCAACAGCACAAGGTCTGCTTCGACTATCAAGGCACCCCAAAATAGCAGGTCACGAGGGAGTGACAAATATACAAAAGAAGTAGAGGAAAATGACAGTAGTAAGGATTAGGAAAGAAAAAGCAGCAGCTCCCTGTTGTAGATCAGGCACAGTTATGAGCGTGACATGAATCAGCCCATTTACAATTCTACTGTGCTTGAACGAGAAATGCCCCCCCCCCCCCCCCTTTGGGAATGGCCTAAAGACACTACAGTCAGTGGCACTGCCCCGGGGGGGGGGGGAGTAATGTTAAGTCCAAGTTTCATGTGGTATTTGTGACTGCTCTGTTTTCCAATCTGTTCGAAAATAATATCATCAGAAGATGCTGTTCATTGCAGAGACAATTTTTTTTTCATTTGATACATTATTCAAAATAATAATGTCCAGTCTACCAATGTTGACCACAAGTGTTTACGCACCTCAATATAATATGAACAAACAAACTTTTACGTTTCTTTGACTTCTCACAATTTTACCAAACCTGATTTTTTAAGGTCCATTTTGAGTGACTATATCTCTTAACATAGATAAAATATTAATGTGTCAGATGATGCAGAATGTATTTAACTTTAAATTGATATGCTGCATGAATGGGTAGGGCAAGGCTGTAACACGATGATCGGGGGATTACGTTTTCAAGTTACTTTTGGACACGACTGTATGTATATGGTCGCTTTTAAATTTTAAGGACAAGCCGGCTAACCCAGATTTTGGGGGTTTCCAGAAATCTTGACCTACACCAAAAATGGGCATTGCCCTACGTATAGGAGAAGTTTGGTTTTATTTATGTGTATGTTTGTTTGGTTTTGGTTATAGAGAAAACTTTCCTTGTCTGAACAAGGGTCCAAAAACTTTACCTTCGATTTTCTCAAAACAGCATTTTTGGGACAACCCCCTAGTGCTTAACATTAAAAGCGACCATATATAATATAATATATATATAAAAACATTAAAATTATGTATATTGCTGTTTCCAGGAAGTTTACACCTTTGGCAGTTACCAAATGTTGACAGCAGTTTTCTCGCCATACACACATACTTTCATACATTATAATAACATATTATATATATATACAGTAAATAAAATATGGGTGACCTTATTAAGGCCACAGATGGCCTATATAAGGTATATAACCCCCCCCCCCCCCACACACACACACACACGCACCTAACCTTATTTAGGCCACATACAGTACAGTGGAACTCGGATACAACAAAGTCATCGGGCCTGAGCTTCAATGTCGTTGAATTTGAGTGTACGTTATAGCAGACATGAGGTTATTGTGTAGATAATTACAGGCACCAAGCAAGCAGTGTACATGTATAACGGACTTGACTTTCAAATCAAAAGTAGTTTGGCTTCAAATGAGGGGCTTTTTTTCCGTTTCTTTGATGCCAAACCGAAGAAATGCTGGAAAACTCCAGGAAAATACACTGAACACTTCCTAACACACGCTGTGCAAAAGAGCTAGTTCATTCAAAGGCACGCCAGTATCATCAATAACTTAATGTCAATAACGTATTGTTTGCTGAATAAGTTATGATGCTGTGTAGAGCCTGGTACTGGTATACTACAGCAACGTTTGATTCCAGAGTCCAGCGCGTAATTCATTACATAGATCTAGATCTATGTCAAGACTAGTTTATCATTGTGATATTGATTAATAGCCGGGGGGCGGGCTTGTCACGAGTTTGTATCTCTAATGACGTCCCATACCCAGACCGCTCATGCACCCTCCTTCAAGACACACATACACGGAGTCACACATAAATATGCATATGTTGTCAGACCCCAACACATGTATGCGTGTTAACAGCCCATGAGTTATTATGAAAGAAGGTCGCTGATTGGTCGCACAAGATATAAACAATAGGATAGACGAATAACGGTTCATGATGCAGGTGCCATGAATGGTTACTAGGAACAGATCAGGTTCGTTGCGGGAGAAAACTGAGTGAAGCCACGTCAGCGGAGGCTGTTCACCTTGCAAGCGACTTTGTTGAATCCGAGCTTGCTCATTTTTGTATTCGCGGAAACCGACTTACTTTTATTGATGTTATTAATTTTTTGTTAAAGGGGAATCTAACTCCTTTCATTGAATCCGAATTTCCGTCAAAATCAGAGTTCCATTGTATAAGACTTAAGAGCAGCCATTGACAAATTGACATAGAAACATGCGAACTGAAGAGCCTCAGACAATGAATACCAGGACCTATACTTGAATGCTGATAAAGTGCTTTTAAGTTCCAGTGTACTTTACTTAAAATTAAAATAAAAACCCATCAAAAACAATAAAAAACACAAAAGTGAATTTTGCAAAAGCATGACACTTTTATTATTCCTTTTATCATTCGTGGGTTTTGTCAAGGGATAAAAATTATATACAGTACAATAATAATATCACTCATACTCATATAACTTAAGCAACCACGGGGCAACTTAAGTTCTGTCCCCTCAGGGACCGTTCACAAATGACGTCACTTAAAATTTGTCCAAAAATGATTTCCCCTCCCCCCAAGTCAACTTTTGTCATATTTCCCAGGCACCCCCACCCCAACCCAGGTTCCAGTTGACGTCAACCAAAATGTACATGTATATTTAGATAGAACCTGTACATTTAGATAGAATCTGGTGTCATCTTTCCCAGGCGCACCC